AAACTGTCGCATAACTGTCGCATATCAATTGCATAACTGTCGCATATTCATCGCACAATGCATTCGCACAATTATGCAATTGATATGCGACAGTTTTTCGCATAACTGTCGCATAATTGTCGCATATCAATTGCATAACTGTCGAATATTTATCGCACAATGCCTTTGCACAATTATGCAATCGATATGCGACAGTTATGCGACAGTTTTTCGCATATCCTTCGCATATGGACAGTTATGCGATGAATATGCGACAGTTTTCGCATAACCTTCGCACTTTCTGGGATGAAAAACTTAGCTTTTTATTGGGCGGTGTGAAAAACTTATCAAGACTTCAAAACGTGGTGAAAATAGATATCTATATATATATATAAAAAGATTTACCATTTTTCAAAAATAGCAGGTCAAATTTTGGTCGAAATCATTTTGCATTAATTACATTTCATTCTTAGTAACTTTTCTTTTTTTTTTTTAATAAAAAAGTAGCATTAAATGCTACCCATTAATTAAAGATTTTGTTATTTCAGTTTTCAACAAAACCATGAATGTTGCCTATTATTTGGGGATGATGTTGTTTTATTTTTAAAAATCATATTTAATAAAGGAAATAACTATATATTACCCTAAATTGTTGGATAATTAGATTGTCTTGCTTCGCGTCTTTACTTGCTTAATAAATTAATTAGTGCTGATTTAATACTCAACTGGTCAAACCTTTTTTTTTCAAATTAAAAATAAATATGTATAACCGATAAAAAAAAAAGAATTAAATATATATAAATAATATATTAATTATTTTACAAGCTAGCCCTAATATACAAGTGAAAACTATATGATAACCCTATTGATTTTTAGACTTAAACGAACAGAGTCGTCTGAAAATAATTCATTTAATATCTATGTCCCGTGCATTGCACGGGGTACTTACTAGTTTTCACTAAAAAGAATTACCATTTACTAAAAATAGTAGCAAAAATTTAGGAAACATTTAATGCATGCTATTTTTGGAAATTTTTTATATATGCATTAATTGCTTCTATTTACACGTTCTCAAATAAGATCAAATAATTACTTAAATAAATTATTAATATCTGCATTATTTTCATTTATATTTATTATATTAAATTACAAGATTGATCTTCGTGATTCATGTTGATAATATTTTGGTCAAGACAAATATTATCTTATTAATATTTATAATACTTTCATTGATATTCATTATAATGAATTACAAGATTGATTTATGTGATCCATGTTGATAATATTTTGATAAAGATAATATTACACCATATTTTAAGTTCTAACCATAATATTAGTTTTTCTTCACAAATATTCACTTTTTATCAAAAAATATTTATGAAAAATCGTAACAAATTAGCTAGAATTTTTTTCCAAGTAATCAGAAAAAATCAAATTGGTGAATTAATATTTGTCAATATATTTGTTTCTTAAGCTTTATTTTGTTAAATATAAAAATAAATCATTTTTCAAATTAATATAATTTATCATTTAAGAGATAATGACCAGATACAATAAATAGTTTTGCTAATAGTAAAAAATTAAAATTGAAACATATTAACTATTGTTTAGCATTTATTTGTATATTATTGGCACCCATGACTATATTTTTTTATTTTGATTTATTTATATAATTAAATTCTTGTAAATATATTTTCATTGTTGAGTATGCTAAATAAACCATAAATCCTTATAATGCGAACTAGAAAAATCTTGATCATACAGGGGATCGTGTTTTTAGGATTTTCTAAATCGAAGTTGTTTAATTAGTATATAAAATTAAATTCTAAAAAAATATGTGTACATTTTGTAAAATATTTATACACTATTTAATATTAAATTTATTTACATATTTTAAATTAATTACATAAATAAATAATGCAAACGTGCATTAAATATTATTCATTACATAAAATAAAAATATAAAGAAGACGTACAACTTTTATAACTTTATAAATAATAATAACATTATATGACATAAAGTGTATAATAAAATAATAATTAAGTATTATATGGTGAACAAGAATAAGTAAAATTGTTATTCTCTCTTGTATCAAAAAATAAATATATATATATTAAAATCATATTTAAATTAGGATAAATGTGTTAGTGAAATAATATATTAATTATTTTAATATTTTGACTAAAAAATAACATTGATTAAAAGAGGTGCAAAATATATTATAACCTTATTGTTTATTATACTTAAAGCTGATTAAAAGAGATGAAAAATAGATGATAATCTTACTGCTTTATATACTTAAAAGGACAAAGCATGTGAAATAACACATTTAATATTTTTGTCCCGTGCATCGTACGGGGGTACGTACTAGTTGACCCTAAACATAATTACATCTTTCAATTAAACCACCAAATATTCTTAAATTGCATTTCAATTTATCTATTCAAATTTCTCTCTCTCTCTCTCTCTTTCTCTTTTTTTTCTCGATCAATGGCGATTCAACAAGGAAAATTAAACTTGTACGGCAAAAACATGAATTCTGTCGGACCCTGATTTGGATTTCGGGTCGGCTAAATCCGACACCAGTACATGGAATTGATCGGAGTCCTGAGGATGGTTTCTGGTCAGGTGACCGAAAATTGAGATTCCCTTTTGATTCTGGTTACCTGAACAGAGTCCCTGAGAGTATCGTAATTCCGGCATGTCGGAGCTCCGGTGAAAGATAAGGTTATTGGCCAAGGGGGGAATGTTGGGCTCAGATGCGCAATGCGGAAGATGTAAATTAAAATATCAAGGTAAAATGGTGAACAATAATCCCGATCCCAACAACTCAAGAATGACAAAAGAAAATCTCTTGCAATAAAACAGGAATAATTCTTTTCTGATGTGGAAGATCAGATTAGACTGCAACCACAGAGCATACTAAGAATATCCCAAATAAATAAAATATGCAAGAAATAAGACACCAAGATTTAACATGGAAAAACCTCCAAATAGATGAAAAAACCACGGGACAACCTCCGAACAATTCCACTATATTTTCAAGATAATTACAATATCTTTTCACACTCCCTTACACTAGAAATGTAAAATATAGTGACCCAGTGAGACCCCACTCCTAAACAAGGAATAATAGAGTTGATACCCAACCCGGTGTATTTTTCCCACACTCACAGGATTTACTCAAACACTCTATTTTTATCTCACTGAAAAATAACACTCAAAGATATTATTTCTTCTCTCTTTTTCTTTCTGCTCTTGGTGCATCTTCTTCAGAAGAATACCTCCCTATTTATAGGAGGAAAAGACTGAATGTGAACAAATGAAGGCTCCTTCTCAGCTCTTTCCTTCCATATGGGCAGCTCATTAGATTCCTTTTCTTTTGTTGTTATTTTGCACCTTCACGTGGCTGGACCTACAATTCTCCCCCTCCAGCCAAAGGGAAATATTCTGTAAATCTCGCATGCATTCCATGTCGATCAACTCGACACAGAGCTGAAGCTTTCCCCCTGTTACAACTTTCGTCATCATGTCAGCAGGATTTTCGTCAGTGTGAATCTTTTTCAACTTGAACTGTTGTTCTTCCACTACTTGACGTAGCCAATGATATCTGACATCAATGTGCTTCGTGCGAGAGTGGTACATCGCATTCTTACTCAAATCCAATGCGCTCTGACTGTCACAATGAATATCGTACCTTTCCTGCTTCATTCCCAATTGTTGAAGAAACCTCTTCAACCAAAGCATTTCTTTGCCTCCTTCTGTCATAGCAATATACTCTGCTTCAGTAGTTGACAAGGCAACAGATTTCTGCAATTTAGATTGCCAAGATACAGCTCCTCCTGCAAATGTAAACACAAACCCTGAAGTAGATTTTCTACTATCCAGGTCACCTGCCATATCCGCATCTGTATAACCTTCAAGAACTGGTTTTCCTTTTCCGAAGCTCAAGAACTTATTTGCACTGCCTTTTAGGTACCTCAAGATCCACTTCACAGCTTCCCAATGATCCTTCCCAGGATTGGAAAGATACCTGCTAACAACTCCAACCGCATGAGCGATGTCTGGTCTTGTACAAACCATGGCATACATCAAACTCCCGACTGCTGAGAAGTGTGGAACACCTGCCATAGCTTCTTTTTCTTCTTGACTTGTAGGACAAGTTTGAAGTGATTGGCCAACGGTGTATTGACCGACTTAGCCGATTTCATGTTGAATCTCTCCAGAATCCGATTCACATATCGTTCTTGCGATAACCATAATCTCTTGGATTTTCGGTCTCGCATGATCTGCATGCCAAAATTTGTTTCGCAGGGC